CCAATTGACTTAATTGACATGCCATCTACATTTGACATGTTTCAAAAATTGTACTCAAAAGAGTGGTAATCAGTGGTTTCATATCATATGAGGGTTAACAGGTTAGTTAAATATTAATTTTCTACCCAATTGACTTAATTGACATGCCATCTACATTTGACATGTTTCAAAAATTGTACTCAAAAGAGTGGTAATCAGTGGTTTCATATCATATGAGGGTGGGAGGCACTCTATAAAGATTATTTTATTATAAACTTTAAAGAGAATTTTATGAATTTACAGAAAATATAAAGTTGGTTGTCTAAATGTACAAGACAAAAATGAAATTCAAACAGATTTAGATACTGTAGAGAAATCTGCTGAAAATAAACCCACATATAAAATGGGGAATATGCAATTTAATAACAATACTATGTCTGTCTGTCTGTCTGTCTGTCTACTTACCTACCAACCTACCTACCTATCAGGGGTGTCAAACTGGTGGCTGCTGGCTGGATGAATCACGCTCAGGTCACGCCCACCCTTGTTCCACAAAGGCAAAAATGATAAATCATGTGATGGTAACATGACTCCGTGAATTTGACACCTGTGATATATGGGAATAATAATTGACTACAAACTGAGTATAAATTCACAGTACAATCATGGCAGCAAAATGAATGGTTGTATCTCCATTAAAACAGGAGTTTGCCTGTTTTATCAGGTTCGATTGATTTTTCTATTTTCAACATTACCTTTTTACCTTCCTGCTTCCCCAGGAAAAACGGGTATTCCTTATTTTCAAAATAAGTGCAATCAGTGAATATATAATTGTTTTCAGTAGCCAAAACATACTTTTATTAAGTAATAGAATTATGCATATCTATGCTATATTTAATAAAATAATGAGGTGATATTCTAGTTACAGAATTTCAAATTTCCCCTCATTTCTCTCCCTCTCTCTTCCCCGAAAAGAAGCCTTAAATATTGTGATACCAAATACATTAACTGTTCATCTATTTCTGCATAATTAAAGCACTGCTTTTTATTTTTTGAGCTGGCTAAGCAATAAGGTTTTATCTTGGGATTTAACAGCTGTGAAATATACATAAAATATTGAGTGAGACCAAAAATAGAAACCTTTGTAGCACAGGACTACTCAGATTTGATTTCAAAATCTGGACTTTGGAATTGAGATATAGTAGTATATTTACTATGATTTGATATCCAGGATTAGTGGCCACTTACACATAATCTCTATATATAAAAGCGAAAACCACTCACACTGGATCATGAAATCTCCAGAATCGTAAAGCTTACAAACATGAAATGTGGCACGTATGATCCTCTTGGCTTCTAGGTGCTCGCTTAGAAAGGATTTTTTGAAATGACCATCAGACCATTAGCATTTCTTATTATTAACATGCTCTGATGCTAAGGAGTTAGATGTTCTACTCTCCCTCCCAACCTGAAAACCTGGACATGAGTGTGGCCAACCCGTGACTCATCTGGCCTGCTGGCTGGGAGTTTGGAGAGGAGCCTGAGGAAAAGAAGGTGATAAGATAGAGGTTTCTGTGGGGCAAGGCTGAGGGAGAGAATGGGATAGGATATGAGAGGTTTCTGTGGAGCAAACCTGAGGGAGAGAGAAAGGGATAGGATAGGGAAGGATTCTGTGGGGCAAGCCTGAGGGGGAGAAGGGAAGAGGAGAGGCTGATGGTAACTACTCATTAATTTTCAAGCCGTAAGTGTCGATTTATCACACCCGATCACATAGTTTCATAGCGGATAATGGGTATTCAGCTAGTTACTTATAAACTTATTACTAGTTTATCCATGCAAACTTAATATTTGTCCTGATTTCTAATAAGACTAATTTAGAAATATAATATAGTATAATATAATATAATATAATATAATATAATATAATATAATATAATATAATATAATATAATATAATATAATATGATTTACATATGAGTAAACAGCTTCTTTGCTAGCTTCTTATACATTCATGTATCAAGCATCACACCTCTATATCAGCACAAGCATTCCATGTATATAGCGTATATGGAATAAATATATAAAGTAAATGAAAAGGTATATATTAAAACTAAAGGGTCTGGGTGGCTCAATGGCTAAGACACTGAGCTTGTCAATCAAAAAGTCAGCAGTTCAGCAGTTCGAATCCCTAGTGCCACGTAATGGAGTGAGCTCCCCTTACTTGTCCCAGCTTCTGCCAACCTAGCAATTTGAAAGCACGTAAAAAATGCAAGTAGAAAAATAGGGACTACCTTTGGTTGGAAGGTAACAGCATTTTGTGCGCCTTTGGCGTTTAGTCATGTTAGCCACATGACCACAGAGACATCTTCAGACAGTGCTGGCTCTTCAGCTTTCAAACGGAAAAGAGCACCGCCTCCTAGAGTCGGGAATGACTAGCACATATGTGCGAGGGGAACTTTTACCTTTACTTTTATATTAAAACACCCAATGCACCATCTTAATCCTTCTCCTACTCCTGCTAATATGAAACATTTGCCAACCTTTTCATTTATTCTCAGGTATGGTTTAGATTTATTGCGCACTGCTGTTACTGCATTCAGCAACTAATTTTGAATTCTATTCCAAACATTTTACAATTCAAGGCTGTTTACTTTAACATACTTTCTTTGAATAAAAAAATATATCATAAATTTGCTTTCTCACATTCATGCATTTAATACAGATCTCTTTAAGGACAAAAATCTGGTCTGCATAGTGCCTACATAAGCCAACCCCATCCTAAAGCTGCCAGGCATAAAGCCTAGAAGGAGAGAAAAGCAATTTCCTCTTTCTATGACGAATTACAAGATTTGTTTTCTCCGCCATACAACATTTGGTTCTGTTCAATGTTTGGATACTTAACCTGATGGTACAGTCACAAATCACTTTACACTTTACACAATTTCTTTCCAATATTCCACTGTATTGGATAGAATAAAACATTAGCGCTGTTGATAAGGGGATGTTGATCAAAGTGGCACATTTTCAAAGGCTAGAATATTTGAATATGTCAGGAGCAGTTAAGCTTGGTGTCTTTCAGCCATTTTAGATAATGAATCTCAGTGTTTAGGCTCCCAGTTACATTCCCTATAGCAATCTTTTTTGCAGGTATCTTTCATAAAATATTCAGGAAATTTAGATAGATAATTGTTTTTCACTTCTGGAGAGCTTCATTTATTTTAACATACTTAATATTTCTTGAATTTGATATCTTTAATATATATATATTTTGGAGAATCTTTGATGCCTTTTTATGAAACTATGTATGTTGCTGCTTGAATGTGATAACCCAGAGCAGAAAAGGGAAAAATTCTGTTTATGAGAACTTCCTTTCAAGTTATGATATAGAGATAGAATATAATCAAGGAAGAAAGAGAATAATAAGAAGAGAGCTCTACTTATATTACTATTCCTAGAGGAATACATTTCATCAGACTCTTGAGTAATGAGACATTTCTCTATCAATAGCATCTTTAGAAATTCTGCTAAAATTTCTAGGCAACAACAAATACTAAACATCTATAGAAATACTCTCTAAGCTCACGTAATAAACCTTGAATACTGTGAAAAACTAAGTTGGTACAGAGCAAAAATCATTTTCAGAGATTTTGTTATTATTTTCCTTCTTAGTGCAATCCTCCTCTAAAATATCCACAAGATGGGAAAAGCCTTTTTTCAAAACCTCACATTAAAGGCCAAAAAGATGTCCAATACCTTCAGTGGTTGAATGGCCGCCTGAAACTCCAGTGGCGGAGTTACCACTCTGACCAGGAAGAGCAATGCAAGTTACTCCATAAGGTAAGTAGAACTTGGGCTGCAGTAGTTTATATTTTGTGGCATTATCCTTCTCTGGTCTTGATTCTATAAGTTTCAGAAGTGGTTTAAAAACAAAATTGGGCTTAAGATTGTGTCTTTATCTAATTTTTTTTAGCCAATATATGTAGCAAGAAGAATGGATATGTTTTCTTTACATGGTGATATTTTTTTATTTTCTAGTTCCAAGGTTATTAGGTACTAAAACTGAATGGAAAGTTCATAAGCCTGAAACCACTGTAGATTCATATTCAGTTTATTCTGATATAACAGTTAATTGTGGTTTGACATTGTGAATTCTGAAGAGGCTCCAGCTTGGATATTACCTCCCACTCATACCATAGTTCCAGGTTTTAGTTCATAGTTTAGCCATTGAGCTGAACTGGGAGTTAGTTTGCAGCCAAGCTATAATTGAAATTTAGACTTCTGCTGCAAGAGGCCATAGTAGGCTTATTTATAGATCTTCGAGTTAATACAAATTATACAGGTGAAACTCGAAAAATTTGAATATCGTGCAAAATAATGCAACTTAAAAGGTGAAACTAATATATGAGATAGACTCATTACATGCAAAGCAAGATAGTTCAAGCTGTGATTTGTCATAATTGTGATGACTATGGCTTACAGCTCATGATAACCCCAAATCCACAATCTCATAAACTTAGAATATTGTGAAAAGGTGCAATCAACAAAATAAGGA